TCTGAAGCAGAAGGGATAGAGACAGTATAACATACTGATTAAGACTATGGCCTTTGGAGGTAGACAATGCCGAGTTTGTATGCTAGCTCTGTTATTTATTAACATGTGATTCAGGATACATTACTCAACCTCTCTGAACCACGGTGTTCTCTTCTCTATATGGTATTCTCTTGGGGTGCCTGGGTGGCTCAGTCGGTTGAACATCTGACTCTTGATTTCGGCTCGAATCATGATCTCACAGTCATGGGATGGAGGCCCTTGTCAAGCTCTGCACTGACAGCATGGAGCCTGCTTGGGATTCTCTTCCTCCCTCTCACCTCTGCTCCTCCCCTGCTCTCCCTCTCCCCTCCCCTCTCGAAATAAATCAATAAATAAACTTTAAAAAATAAAATAAATGGTGCTTTCTTGAATAATGGATATATCAGGGAATTCTTGTGAGGATTAAGTGAAAATCATGATATTAAGATTGATGAGCACATGGAAAGTGGTAATTAAATGTTACTTTTAATAGTTATGATAAATAATAAGGTTGGTTATAGAAGATGGCCAACACTATCCCTGTAGTTTCCTTATCTCTCCTTAGAAGGAAAATATGTCATACCTGAAGAGAGTGTTCATGTAGACAGATCAATTCCCTTCAAAAATGAATTCAAAACATCTCTCTAGGATTGAAGTATTTGGAATGAATATGAAGACTCAGGTCAACTGAGTGGAGGGCTGGTAAAGACACAGAGAAGGGCTAGAGACAGTGCATCCTGAGGGTTCTCATGGGAAGTGAAGAGTGTGTTCTTTATAGATGGTGTGTCTGGAGTTTGAAATGGTGAAGCCCTTAGTAGATCTGTGACTACAGCTGCTTGGTATCCTATCTGAAGAGTTATGGTTATTGGTTATTTGATTAATGTCTTGGCACCAACATTTGGAAAAAGAAAAACAGTAACTATGATGGGTGATGATTGTTTCCCAGGTCAACTTTTCCTACTTCTCCAGTTGTTTGATTCTTTTTCCCAGCCCAAAGATCCCTTTATATTTTGAGCAAGTGCATAGCCTTTGACATTCAATCAACACAGTGGGATGTAATTGTAGCCTTCCCTCCAGGATTCCCTGTTTCTTTCTCAAGTGGTAAGTGTGTCTATGAGATGAAAACTAGGGAAGAAAGAATTTGGTCTTGAATTTCCTCTTCTCTAATCCCACCACCAGCCCACTGGTCTTGGCACAAATTAGAAACAGGTATCCTTTCTTGAAGAAATTTTCTTTCCATATGAGAGAAATTATTGCAATAAATATACAAAATTATTATGACGGTAAGGTGATTGATGCTCCCAAGGTTTAATAGCATATAACTTACATGTAACTTACATAATGTTGTATCCCAACTGCCTCTCCATTCTCCCATTGCTCCCTAACTTTATCTTCAATAATCATGCCTCAGAAGATGTGTTTATTTGCTTATATCCCATCAACCAGAATCTGATGAACTTTTCTCTCAATACTCGAGTTAAACACACTCTTTGAGGAAACCATCCCTAATAGCCTTCCGTCCTCTGGACTGAGTAAAAGTCTTATTCTGCCCTTCTTCCCTGATAGCACCATACATGGTACACACTCCTGGCTTTGAATTCATCATGCTAGATTGCAATTATTTGTTTGCTTGACTGGCTCCAATTCTAAACCCTGAGCCTCTAGAGCAAGACCGCCTCAGAGGTTTATGGAAATGGAGATTCCTGAGCCTGACTCCTCACTTCCTGAATCAGGATTGCTGGGTACAGAATCTCAAAAGCTGCATTTCTAAATAAGACTTACCTGGATCAGCTTAATTCCTCTGCATTTTGAAGCTTAGTTCTCTGGAGAGCAAGACACGTATTTAACTGCAGTCAGTGAGATTTTGGGCATTGAGTTCCATTTGAAGAATGCCTTGGCTATTCATGTCTTCCCAGTAAGAAATAGTTGAGTCCCAAAATGTATTAGAAATTATAGGGTGTATACATACATGGCTGTATTTTTTTTTGGAAGAGGTTAACTCTCAAGTCTATGAACTGGTGTGTGTTTGGCATTGGGGGAGTTAATGAGAGGAATGGAGGGCACTCTGAATTTGAAGTGGTTATTAAATTTTTTTTTAAAAAGCATGATGACAATATCCTGGGTTATTTTAAAAGCTGGCTGACTGAGTTGGACATATTTTTCTTTCCAAGATCAAAAGACTAATGTTTGGTCAAATGCAGGTTGATAAAATCATGAGCAAGCTCTTTGGGGAGTGACCAGGGCAATTAGTTTTCTGTGATGACAGCTCCACATAGTTGTGGATCAGATAGGAGAATGAAGAGTGCAAGTCAAGAATTCAGGCAGAGGTTTTCCATTCATGGGATTTGATTGTACAGGACACAAAATTGTGCATGGACCTTGTAATAATAAATAGGAGTAGTTTTGAACAACGAACATATGGAATTTTAATGCCAGAGAATTGGTTTAATTCAAGTTAATTAAAGTCTTTTTGTAAATCCTGAAAAACACATGCCATTTGCCTTTATACTGAGATCTAATGACTTTGTGGATGCCTCTTTAGAGTCCATTTTCCCAGGACTCCTGAGAAGTTTGACTCTTGTCAATTAGAACCTGTCAAGTGGGGGCGCCTGGGTGGCGCAGTCGGTTAAGCGTCCGACTTCAGCCAGGTCACGATCTCGCGGTCCGTGAGTTCGAGCCCCGCGTCGGGCTCTGGGCTGATGGCTCAGAGCCTGGAGCCTGTTTCCGATTCTGTGTCTCCCTGTCTCTCTCTGCCCCTCCCCTGTTCATGCTCTGTCTCTCTCTGTCCCAAAAATAAATAAAAACGTTGGAAAAAAAAGAACCTGTCAAGTGACGAGATACAGGGATGGAACCCATAAACTCGCCCATGTAGAATAAATCAGAGTACCTGCACTCTGAGAGCAGACTCCTTTGATCCAATTCATCTCACATTGTTTTAAAAGAGAATATTTCTCTCAAGAATTATTCAACAAGCGTTCATTGCATGACTTTATTTCCATAGATCTAACACTACTATGGGTTGAAGATACTCTGCAAGATACTTATAGGTAAGGTGCTTATATGTATCTGGAAACAAAGAACTTAGTATTAGGGGACAATTTAAAGCATTGTATAACTGAATGATTTGCTCTAGTGACTTGCTGCTCAAAATGTGACCTCAGTACCAATAACATTGGTGTCACCTGGTGCTTGTTAGACATGCAGACAGTTGGGCTCAAATGCAGAGCTACTGAATAGGTTTCTGCTATTTAATAAGATCTCTGGGTGATTTATGTTCACATTAAAGACTTAACAGTGGATTTTTGGATCCACGTTGAGGTGGATGCATTAGAATCACCTTGGAGGTTGTAATTATTTCCATTCCTACACTTCAACCCTAGTATATTATATTTTAGCTTAATGAGTAAGAGTATGAGCTCTTGGTGAAGACTGCCTAGGTTTCAGTTGTGGTTTGCCCCTCTCTAGATGCATTAACAGCCAAACAGTCCTACCTGACTTGGTATGTTGCCTCATCAGTGAAGGAGGGAAATAACTATTTGGCAGGGCTATTGGGAGATAAGGTATTTATCATGGTCTTGGTATATAGTAAGCAACTGAAGAAATGCTGCCTATTTTTATTCTAATAGTGAAGTTTGGGAACGACTGCACAACGGAAATGTACTTGGTTTATTTTACTGATCAGAAAATAGGCCTCCTTGGGAAGAGCTGACTGCGTAAAGGAAATACTCAGTAATACCATCACCACCATATCCTCAACCTGTGTACATGGGTATGCATTTGGTGCATGTATTTTCCTGCAGCTATGAATTCTCTTTAATTTTCCAGAGCTACAAATGATCTACTATCTTAAAAACTGGCCCAGGCATCATTTCAACAGTGATCATTCCACATTAGCAGGGCAGTATCTTTACTAGAGGGTCCTAATATACTCAGGGGTCCTAGAGAATTAAAAAGGAAAATTGCCTTCTAGAAGGAGTAAGTAGTTCCGAGGATGGAGAGAAATTGACTCCATGCTCCCTAAGTTGAAAAAAAAGTCCCTCTTGGTAAAACTAAATTATGTTATCTTTTCATCTTCAAGACATGCTTATATAGCATGGTATTTATAGGGAAAAGAAAATTACACATACACACATATTCTGATCAACCTCAGATAGCAATCAGTAGAGCATTCATACTCCAATTTAGAAATAATGGAGTCTATTATGTATGTGTATGTATATATACATATTATATATGTGTGTATAATAATATATATAATATATATAATGAATAGTCCATTATTACTGGTTGATGCTATTTAACAAAGCTTCTTCAATTCTCTTGTAACACATCTACCTGCTTTCTGGCTTTTAAAGTCTTCTTAAAATACCCACATATGTTTTTAGATGTGTGCATTCTTACATAGAAATTTGTCATTGGATGCTGTTGTTGCATATGGTAACTATTGTCTTTTAAGTCTCTTTTTAAGAGTTCAATGGGAATAGTAACTAATTCATAAGATTATTGTAAAATTATTGGAGCTCACTGCAATGGAGCTCACAGGCTAAGTGCTCCATAAATGGTGGCCATTATACCATATTCACTTCTTCACTAGTGGGATTCATTTCCTTCTGTCACTTCATCAAATTCAGTTTTGTATCACTGAATTTCATTTCATTATTTATATGACAAGTATTTGACCGTTCGGATAACACTTTTGAATTCATTTTTGCCTCTCTCTATCTAAATAATGGGAAGTTCCCCTCAGTTCAAAGTAAAATTCTTGTTCCATGATCAGATGTGGCAACCCAGTTGAACTCCATGCTGACAGCTGGCTGTTTCCATTGTTCTCTGGATGATAAAACTATACTGGGAAGCCTTGGCAACATTTTTGCAAATGACTTAGTGTATTGTCTTTTAGACCTATTATAAATTGCAAATATAAGTGTGTAAGTGTATGTGTGTGTGGTTTTAATTTAACAGCTATAGGTCAGGTTAATGAAGGGAGTAAACACTTTATCAGAAGCCAATCCTGTGGATTTAGTCGTAATCAGTACTTTTATTCAGATGTGGATTCATGAGCATTTCTCATTATGTTTTCTAAGTTACAACACACTGATGTGTTTTGCTCAGTGGTAAGGCATATGATTTGGCATCAGTCATTTGGCTTTTGGCTTGTGAAACAAGGGCTTTTAAATGGTGTGGGGTTTTTTTATACATTTTACCTGTTAAATTCAGGTATGGCTATTTTTAAATCTTTGTGTCTGCATCCCCCAAACTTACTGTGATTATAGTCCCCCCATCCCTTTCACTTATTATCTGCTGGTTCCTATTCATTTGCTATCATTGTGTCTCAAGTATATAACAATTCAGGTTGGCCATTTTCTAAATAATGTGACTCACACACATAACAGCCAAGGTTAGTCACATAATCTCATTCCCTCACACTCCCTCTTGCCCTGGCCATAATTTACTACCAGTCCAGACAACACAGACTACTTATAACATTGTACCCTACAGAGCTCTTCATTTGCAAGCAAGGGAAACCAACTCTGGCTAACTTTAGCAAAACAGGACATTGTTGGCTGAACCTGGGTAGCTCAGCAAATGGGAGGTCTGGCTCAGCAAGGAATCAGGGCAGCTCGGGATGTCTAGATATCTCTGTCATCTGGAAGCAGAATGAATCGGCCCCAACCTGATTTTTTTCTTGTCCTTGCATTTCTCAGCTCAAGGTCCAAAGTCTTAAGAGAGAAAACCTGATTATCTTAGCTTGGATCACAGGCAGGGCATCCTGACTGACAGTTTCACTAAGATCATAGACAATGGTGGAGGATGATATTACCAGTCAAATGAATGAGTGAATGGATGCAGAAAAAAAGTCACTGCAAGCACTTTATGGTATTGTTTACCTGATTCATAATGACAAATGATTATTACAGAAAATGTATCCACCCAAAAGAAGGCTAAAAAGTCAAATCAAAAGGGCAGTAGTTAATCAAGATAGAGTTAATCCCTTCCTCCTCTGGGAAGATAATGAAGATCATAATATTTTCAGATCGTTCAGGTAGGCAGAATTTTATCTGTAGAACTTCAGAATTAGGAAGTGCTAAAGATGATAAATTTCAGTGACTCTAAAACACTGGGGTGGACCAGCTGTATTAAGTCACCACCTCTATTTTAAGAAAATAGAGGTTCCAGTGTCCTCCACTCAGAAATAATGTGTTATTTAGGGGTGCCCAGGTGGCTGTTGGTTAAGCGTCTGACTCTTGATTTCAGCTCAGGTCATGATCTCATGGTTCATGAGATTGAGCCCTGTGTCAGTCTTTGCACTGGCAGCTGAGAGTCTGCTTAATAGTCTCATTCTCCTCCCTCTCTTTCTGTCCCTCCTCTCTCTCTCTCTCTCTCTCTCTCTCTCTCTCTCTCTCAAAATAAATAAATAAACTTTTAAAAAGTGTGTTATTTAAATCTGGAGTTTATCTCCAAAAGTAAATTTGAAGGACTGCCAAGCTGCTAAGTGGAAACTCCAGAAAGAGGGCCATTTGCCTGGGCCTCACAATCATGAAGAATATCAGATTTACATGGTCGACCTTATTGCTACATGAAATTGTATGCTATCATAGAACTAGAGTGCCAGGAATGACAAATGACAGTAGTCACACTCTTAATGTTGCATCCAATACCACCTAAACATTTGGGCACTGAGAATAAAATATTTGTTATGTACCTGTTACTTACCAGGTACATGGCACACCTGTGTAGTAAGCTGTGTTGCACTAAAAGCATTAGTTGGTTAGTTGTAAACATATGAAATATGGCATAACTTTGGGCACCCTCTTGACATATCTTCAAGCAAGAAGGCTAGTCTCTCTTGGCATCTGTCAGGTACATTCCTGATCCATACAGGAGTACACACATCTCTGATGCTGTACCCAGTACTTAGAGCCCTCCTAGGGACACTGTGGACTGCCTAAATGGCAATTCTTTAATTGCACATTTACTACCACCCGGGAGTTTTTAAAAAGTACCAATTCTTGCATCACTGCAGAGCAATTCAATCTGAACTGGGGATGGTCCCCAAATATCTCTTTTTCAAAGGCTTTCTAGGTGACTTATGTACTCTATAGCCAGGTTCAGATCGCTATATTCAAAGTAAAAAAAAAAAAATTATCACATACTTGAGAATCAGTGGAACAACTGTCAGGCCCTGAGTTCTCTCTTTGACAGCAGCACCAGGTAAGCTGTTCTCCGAGCACAGTTGTCCTGCTCCTGTCAAAGATTAACAAACTCTAATCTGTGAGAGTCCAGTACATGCATCACCTCTACCATGCAGCCTTCCAGACCTAGCCAGGCAAAGATGACCGTCCTGTCTTCTATTCCAGGATTCACCCATGGAGATCTATTACAAATGGAGATCCATAACCCCCAACTTGGTATTTCAGAAGTTTCAGGGATAAGGCCTGAGATACTGTGTCTTTAGTAAACTCCTTAGACAATTCTTATGTGCAGCCATTGTGGGACACATCACTCTCTGTCCCCCATGGTATGTGTACATACTTCTCTTATTACACATTCATTTAATTATAATGACGTATTTACCTTTCAAATTCATCTGCTAAGCCCTGAGCTCCTTAAAGGCAAGAATGATATGTTAATCAATTTGGATTCCCAGAGCCTAGCATAATTCTCTCAATAGATGTTTTTGCACCAAATGAACAATATGAGCAGATCTCAAAACCTTTTCTTTAATTTTTTTAATGTCTCATGATTTCTTACAGGGACATATGGATTTAAGAAAATAAAGTTATAAGGATTCAATGACTTTTTACCTTTTCTTTTCTACATAGTGTAAGCCTTCTTCTCACAGTTGGATTTATGTTTCTGAGTACCTATTTTATGCCAGGTACTATTAGACACTAGAAACAGAATAATAATAGCTAACATTTATTGAAAAGTTGCCATGACAGATTAATTCATTTCATCCTCACAGCAACTGGGATATAGGAATTACTTTTGTCCTTAATTTTACAGATGAGGTGAGGCACAGAGAGGGTAGGTAATACACTTAAGTCGCACACCATAGGAGATAATGGAAACAGTGTCTGAACACCATCTGAATCCAAACACATTTTCTGAGCCTAATGGTGCTTCTTACTCTGAATGATGTATAAAGCATGGTCCCTGATCCTAAGGAACTCACAGCCTCATGGGAGAGACGGACAATGTCAGAACATAGTATCATAATATATTAAAGTTCTATAGAGGAAGGGAAAATGTTTATAAAAATAAAACTCAATAAAAACTCAAGAAGGTTTCATTTTTGCCTTGAGGCGAGTAGGGGAAACGTAGTGAGGAAGACTTCATAGAGGTGACTTGGGTTGAACCATGAAAGATCATTAGTGGAATGTGGCCAAAGGGATGGATGCATGAGAATGCATGGTGTATGTGGACAGGCTGAGTATATTTATGGTGGATCCAGAGAAGGCAGTGGTAAATGGTGAGATGTGGAAGGGCACTATTGGCAGATAAAACAGCAAAGGTGTGCATAGCCATTAGAACTCTTACAGAAAGTGTGATTCAAACTGACTTAAGCAACAAGAGACTGTCTTGCCTCATTAAACAGAGTCACAGGATAGGGCTGGCCTTGAGCACAAGGGTATAAGACTTCAAACCATGTGCTTAAGCATCTAGTGATTTTCTTATGGTCTCTCAACCTGGCTTCTGCCTCTTAGTTCCATTCCTGGCTGTGGCTCCAAAACATAGTCATCTCCTGCTCAAAGTACCAAACTCACCAGCTAAGAGAGTCCACTTCTCCAACAGTTCAAGAAAACCTGCAGACATAAATTTCACTGGCCCTGATTGATCAGATTTGAGTCATATGCTGGTCTCTGCCCTCCTTAACTCAATCACCAGAGGGTGGAATGCACAATTTATTTAGCCTTAGTCACATACTTCTCCTTTGGAAGTCATGCAGTAGTCATGAAGCATATAGGCACAGAAGACATATACCCCAAAGGAGAATTGGGGTATCATAGTCACAAGAAGAGGAACTCAGTGCTGAGTAGAAACATAAGAAATGCCCACTAGAGTAGAAGTTCAGTTTTTGAGAGTCCCTGAATGTTCTCTGTAACCTAATCAAGGCTTTTTTGCATCTCATCTTGGAGTTTCTTTCTCAACCTCAGGCAGTAAGCTTTGTTTGGTCACTGGCCATGCAGAGACCTCTGTTTTCTTCTTTGGGGCCCAAACTGAGTTGAAAAGCAGGCTTCTGTTTCCCCTTCAGTTGTGAGGATGTTCACCATGGAACAAGATACAGGATCACAAACCATGCTTTGGACTTCCAGAGAAAGCCTCTCAGGCTCTCTCTGCTGAGTGTTTGCCAAATCTGCCTAATTAGACCACCCCCTCCCCACCTACCCAATCTCCATCCTATTGGCAGCCACTTTCGAAGGGAAGTTCCCGAGACAGGAATTGTTTAGATGGAAACAATCCTTCTGTAATAGCCTTGGCCTCCTCTGGCATGAATTGAGCATTTACAGTAGTGAAGCCATGTTTTATTTATGTTATTTCCTCGAGACCTCTGGTTAGCTTCTCTATTTGCAATGCAAATCAGAATAGAAAAGGTTTTATATATTCTACATACACTTCTCCTATACATCCACGTTCAGTGACAAGAGATTGCAATCTCTTGGCCCGGCAGTTCTAGTGTGATTTCAGATAATAAAAATACTCACCACTTACAGTTGTAACTTATGCAAATCGAGTCACAGTCTTCTGAAAAGCTGAGACTAAGCAGCAGACTTGGGGACTCAGAAAAGTAGCACCGTTGATAAACACTGTCGTTTGAAGGGACAACTTCAGTGAGATACTCTAACTTACACCCCAGAACTCAGAATGGAACAGATAACCATGAATTCAAGCATCACTTAGCATGCAAGTTCTTGCTGGCCTTCCATTAGACTCAAGTGGAAAAAAAATCAGAGCCACGTTTGAGGAAACAAACAAACAAACAAACAAAAAAGGACCTTGTCTGTCTGCATCTGGTACTGCGTGAAAGTGGAATGCTTATGTTTGCACTGGGGCAGTTGGACTATACTAGCTACTGGCTAATTATATTCCCTTTTGTGTAAGGCATTATTTAAAAGGCATATTTTGTGTAAGGAATGTATTCCCTTTTGTGTAAGGCATTCCCTTTTGTGTAAGTAGCTACAGTTTGGGAAATGGAATACTAGGTGAGTCGCTTCATAGAATCCACATGAGTAAAACCTGTTAGCTCAAAAACTAATGCATGAGGATTAACAACCCAAATGTAAGAAATTCCACTCAGCCTTCTGGTCACCTGTGGCCACTGCATAATCCCAATATTTGTCATCGTGTGGTAGGAGTGGCCAGCAGCTATGGCACGCTGGCCACGAGGCAGGGATCCGTAGTAACACTTTGTTATCCAAAAGACCTGACACAGGTATGTGTTAACTCCCTTTCTAGCCCTCAGCTCATTCTTGGAAACAATGGTTCTTCTTCCATATTGTCAGCAATATTTTTTCTCAAATTAGGTTGCCGTGCGTGATGATTTTCTGCTTTCAAAAATCAGACTCATGTGTCCGTAATATAATACCATATTACCTATGATGACAGGTCTGAAAATGCCTGTCCCTACTCTGTTATAAGTTTTGAGGAAAATGAATAGCTATTCTTGTTTCCCCTTTGCTCTCCTAGTGGGTGCACCCTGGAAACATAGCACTTAAACAGCAGTAACAGCCACTACAGGAACACAGCTCACCTGGTAACTGAAAGCTTCTGGGTTGCAGTGGGGATCAAGGTAATCCATACATTGGACTTGGACAGACCCAAGCAGCTCTTATAATTCAGACCATGAATTGTGGCCTAATTCTGGGGGAATTCACTGCTTTCCATGATAGAAATCTGTTTGGCAGAGGAGAAATGTTTGTTTTAAAATGAAATTCATTTGGTTAATAATTACCCACTCAGTTAGGTTGCTTTCTACAGTTCTGTAAATAAAATTTCCTGCATTGCCTTTCCCAGTGATGGATGAAACGTGGATTTAGCTTTTGAGGAATGGATCCTGAGAATATAGCCAAGTCCTCATTTCCCTGTTGATAATAGTTGCATCTAATGTCTTCTGGCTATTTTTCCTCCTGAATAATTACATGATGTAGCACACAGAAAGCACCAAAGAGGCATTCATCAGGAGTTGGAGAGATTCAACATGGGTCACTAAGGTGCCATATGTTGGCCTAATTTAAAAAGAAATTCTACAAACTGTGGCCAACATATATTAGAAGTCAGGATGTCTATCTGGGTAATTGGGTATCTGCAAATCCTAAGTTGTCCGTTAGAACATGTCTGTCAGATAGTCGAGGCAGCAAGTTACACAAGGGACACATTTGGTTAAATAACAGAAGTTGATCTGATCACCAATTTGCAGTACCTTTTAAATGAAAGCAAAACATTGGGCTCCTCTGAGAAACCATATCAGACGTATGTGGTTTTTTTCTCCATATCCCTCCAGATCCCTCTTTTTTTCACAGTATTTCTTTACCTTTTATTATATAAATGTATGTAATACTCTTTAAATATAATAAATACCCCTTATATATGTACATAGTTTTTATATGGTATATCTTTTTTTATTAGATATAGATATAGATATATAGTTTTCAAATGTTGACTACCAAGGTTGGAGGGAAAGCAGGGAAGAAAGGTTGAAAATAAAATTTTACTGATAATATCAGCTTTTTTTAGGTGTCATCAGCTTGAAATAAATAGAGCTCTTAGACCGCCTACACAGCCTTCTTGCTTATGTGAATATTCTTCCATTTTTTTACCCTTAAATCACAGGGCACAATTCTGCTTTCTCAGGAGATACAGTGAGTTTCAATCAAACTATGTAAGAACCCAACCGAATAAGATCTAGTACAGGTCAATCACTGTAATAATGTGGAAAGGCTAAAAATACTGCTTTATTTAAGCTTATGATTTCTTTAAACCTTTCAAATCATTAGGAGTTTGTCTGGGTTGCATAATTTAATAATGAAAAGAAAATAGGATTGTGAAACCCACTTTTCTCTCCCCATCTCTCTCTCTCTTTCTCTCTGATCCACAGCTTGAAAATACCTTTTCAGTCCCTTCTCTTCAATTAATGAAATAGTTTCCCACCCTATTCCCATCCTGCCTGGAGACACCATTGCCATGGTTACCTGGATACCTGTTCTCAAAGAATATATGTAGTAGCAATCAACAATTTAAACGTCTCAATGTGTTGCGCTTAGGAACAGTAATGAGACCATTATGAAACTACTTGTAGTGAAAATACCATTGATGTTACAGTCTGAAGATTAAAACTTTAATTTGTATTCATTTACTCATTTAAAGAGATAAGGATGAGGAGGCTGATCTCTGCAGCTAAATAGCAAGCCACTGACATGAAATGCCATCCACCTGAGACAAGATATTGAGGCTGCCTCTTCTTGAATACAAGTTGATAAGATGGAGAGAATAGACAGAATCACCCAAGAACCTAATGGAAAGTTAACGGGAAAAGGCCAGTGTGAAGATGGTATATTTGGAGAATAAATGTTCTTTAATAGTGAATCCATGTGAGGGTCCAGAAAAAGAGATACTCAGGGATGTTGTCTTTATTTTATCTGAAAATATTGTTTTGGTAAGCTTGATTCGAGACTTCTCATATGGGCCCATACCAGTTTTCTCTGGGGAGAAACATACTTCCCTCTGTGCTTTAGCTTTCTTGCCATCAAAAACTTTGATTGTCTCTCTGAACCAGGGGACTTAACCTCATGTCTCTTATAAAGGCTTGGGGAGATGATTTGTAAGTAATCTGAACTAGTGAAAATTTAAGACTCACGTTTGCCAATATTGCAATTTAAAGAAAACACATTAGAATGGATTAAAGATTAACCCTGTAATTTCATTTATTCTCACAATCTCATAGGCTATTTTGAGTGGGAGAGAAGGGGGGTAGTTGTAGCAAGAATGCTGGAAAATTCAATTAACTATGGTATTGAGGCTGAAAGTACTGCTTATTGACTGTGCGCTCAACATTACATCCCTGGTTCCATTTTACAAATGCATTTTTCTGTGAATTAGTATAGGGACTTTTATTAAGTAAATCTGATCCCTTGGAAAGGGAACAGGAAACACTGATTTTACATTCCAAAACCATATAACTTTTTAGAGTGAATTAAAAATCAAGACAAAGAAATGAAACTCCATTCTATCAAAATCTCTAGATTGCAGATTCACACCTTACATGCATGCACACACACACACACACACACACACACACACAATTCTGGATGAGTCAAAGTTTTAAAAATTAAAAGAATCAAATTATGAAAGCACTAGATAAAAATTGTTTTATGTTTATTACCTAAGAATAAAGGAGAACCATGGTTTAGAATTTCATAAAGGGGAATATATTTTTAAATAATCATAAACTTAAAGTTTTACATCTATACATCTCATTAATAATTATTAGGAGAAGAAACTAGAACTCTCATGCATTATTGGTGGAAGTAAATAACCCTTTACTGCATGGATAACTTGGTAATATGAATAAAAATGTATATTTCCTTTCTATTGAGATACCTTACCCATAGGCATTTTTTCCTAAAAAGATAGTTGTTTAAGTAGAATCAAAAAAAGAGGGGAGGGGACACCTGACTGGCTCAGTCGGAGGAGAGTACGACTCTTGTTCTCACCATTGTGAGTTCAGGTTGCACATTGGATGTAGAAGTTGATTAAAAATAGAATCTGAAAAAAAGAAAGAAAAGAAAAAGGGAGAAAGGAAGGAAGGAAAAAGGAAATAAGAGGTATAACAGTATCATTGACTGATCAAGTAAGTGATCAGAACTTGACTTACTTCTGATAATAGAGAAACCATTTGGTTGGTATGAGAAATATTTGAAAAGATGTTCATCACATTTTTAACATGGTTATTTTTGGTGGTAGAAACATAGATTTTTTTTTTCCAACGTTTATTTATTTTTGGGACAGAGAGAGACAGAGCATGAACGGGCCAGGGGCAGAGAGAGAGGGAGACACAGAATCGGAAACAGGCTCCAGGCTCTGAGCCATCAGCCCGGAGCCCGACGCGGGGCTCGAACTCACGGACCGCGAGATCGTGACCTGGCTGAAGTCGGACGCTTAACCGACTGCGCCACCCAGGCGCCCCAACAATAGAGTTTTTATGGGTTGAATTATGTCTCCCTTAAAGATATGTTGAAATCCTAACCAGCAGTACCTCAAAATCTGACCTTATTTGGAAATAGGATGTAATCACTTTAAAATGATTTCATACTGAGTTAGAGTGGGGCCTCATCCGGTGTCACTGGTGTCCTTAGAAGGAAGAGGAGAACCATGTGACAATGGAGGCAGAGATCGGAGTGCTGTGTCTACAAGCTGAGGAATGGCAAGGCTTACTGGCAAACACCAGAAGTTAGAAGAAGCAAGGAAAAAATCCTTCCTTATAGGTTTCAGAGGGAGCATGGCCCTTCCAACACCTTGACTGTAAGCATGTAGCCTCCAGAACTATGAGATGATCAATTCCTGTTGTTTCAATTCACCCAGTTCGTGGTACTTTGCTCCAGGAGCCTTAGAAAACCAACACAAAAGTCATTTTAAGAGGACATAGCATCTACTTTGCCACACGTGGAATAATCAACCCCAGTGTTAACAATTCTGCATCCAATGTACTGACCTGGGAGTTAATTCATGGTACTTAGAAAAAAGGCAGTAAATATGTCCTACTTCTTTGATGTTATACAGACAGCACACATGCTGAAGTGGTCTGAATGCACCCCAGGTAACAGAAGCATTATTTTCCCAGGCCCCAGAAGCTCCATCTTCTGTGAGCCATCATAAATATTGTGAAACATCTTGGGATATATCTCATTGAAGCACCACTTTGAAGAATTACAGTCCTGTTTATCACAATTTGCATTTTTTCCTCAACCATATTAGATATGACTGTACCAATAAGCTGAGAGGAAAACTAGGTCCCAAGTGTTTTTGGCATCTTGTCAGTACTGAAGGTCAACTACATAGCGGTGAGCCAGAATGCATTGTGAACAGACATATGGCATTTGTTTGGGAGAAGAGAAGGTGGGAGGAGGAGGGTCCTGTTTCCCAGCTGCCTTCCAAAGTCAGCCTGGATTCCTGTTAAAATCTTAATGTATCTTCTTTAGCCTCGTAATCATTTTCTTTCTAAGTGGTCTTTTATAATCTTGAGAACCAAGAAGACATGATTCGAGGAAACCTATGCCTTCTGACCGTGCTGCGTCTTTGGCAGAGTGAACTAGAGGATCTAATTGCATCAGGAGTGGGTGAACGTGCCAGTTCAGGACTAGAGTCTGAACACAAGGGGAGAGGAACCAAAGACAAGGCACACTTCTCCAGTAAAGCTACAACTTATGGAAAATATAGCAACAGGGCTTAAGTCACCTGTGTTCTTTTTAGACTAACTGCAGTTCAGTCAAATTATGCCTGTTTGGATGCTCTTATGATAGATAATTCATTTGAGCACAGACACTTCTGTGTGCATAAACAGCATGTGTATGTGCCTAGAGTGATTTGGGAGATAACCAAAAGACCAAGGATTAGTCAAGAATTTGGGCGCTTTCAAATGACAAAAACCCAACTCCAAAAAGCTTATGCTAAAAACAAGGAAAGGGATTTTTTTTGGAAATTCAGGGGTGGGGTGGGGGAGAGCATCCTGTCTCTAAGGACTCATCATTAAATGGATCTGTTCATCACTGTACTCCTTTTTAGCTCTGGTTCTCCTTGGGTGGTGGCCTTATTTTCCCTCCTGCTAATGGGTTTCTCCTATGTGGTCAAAGCAAGTAAGGTTTAGCTCCAGACATGTGTTCCTATAGCTCATAATCCAA